GCCAGAGTATGAATGAGATTTGGGAATGCGTTCCTAATCACATTCAAGGTAATCATATAAGCACAAGACACACATTGGATAGTAGACATGAGAAAATAAACTATCAAACCAAACAATGTGGTCAAGAGTATTAGATTAGAGAAGGACCGTATTGCATTTGTAATCCCAGACTGAATAGGTTCTCCACCTCTTCTGATTAGCTTGGGTAACCATGACATACGGCTAGGTGTCACTCATGGTTTGTGGAAGCCCTAAACGTGTGTAATCACTAAAGGGAGAATTGAAAATAGTTTCAATTCACAATCGATGTAAAATGGTTTTAATCGCCCACTACCTCGCTAAAAGGAACCTAATGGATCGTACACCGTGTAAGGTAGAGATGGACGAAATAAATGAAATGAGTAAGATTAATTGAATGGTTTAATTATTTATGGCAAGGATTAATTAATATGTTAATTAATCAAACGAATAAGTTCGTTAAAGACCACGGGATAGTTTTGGACCTTAAGGCCCAATGGGCTTCGAACGTCAAGCCCATTAACTTAAGTTGTATGACAATTTAATGAATAAAGATTCATTAAAGCCCAAAAGCCCAAAAATCCCTAAATGGCCGGCCATAAGGAATGAATTAGGGTTTTGGTTATTTAGGTCACTTAAAGAAGTGACTATATAAATGACTTTATAGCCAAATATTCATTAAGTGAAATAAGGGTTTATTTTTGGGGGAAAATGGGTGAGAATTGTCTCTCCATTTTCTCTCTAAAGAGGCCAACACCTTGGAGGTGATTAGCTAGTCATCTAATCCTCCAAGGTCACTCATTCATCATCCAATCTCTCCTTGGTGTAGAGACTTAGAGGTTCTCAATTTTGGGAACTTGGAGAACCTATTCTTCCATCCAAATCCATGGATCTAAGAAGCAAGGAATGAAGGCCCTATCTCTTTGGGTGATTAGCCTTTGCTTATGCAAAGAGGAATCTACAAAGGTATTAATTTCAACTCACTTATTTTTGAGTTGATTATTGGTTCACCAATCTACTAGGCTTTGAATTTCATGGTCATGTTTTGTTTTTGAGTACATACAAGCATGATTCCGCCTTTTAATTGTTAATTGCATGCTATATGATGTTGCTCAAATGAACATGTTTTTCAAAATAATTCCTTCACAAACGTCAAGCCTATTGACTTAAGTTGTATGACAACTTAATGACTAAATATTCACAAAGGTCCAAACAGCCCAATAACTCCCTATGGCCGGCCATATTGATAAAGGAGTGGGTTTTGGACTTATTACAAGTTTGCCACTCCAATGAAGGTAGGTATAAATATGACTTTATAGCCTTTTCTTCATTATGGTTTTTTTAAGAGAAAAGATGAGAACATAATGTCTCTCCCTTTCTCTCTAAGAGGCCGACCACCCTAGAGGATTTTAGCTAGCAATCTTACTTCCTCTAGGTCACTCATCTCTTCTTCAAGTCCTTCCTTGGTGTGGAAAAATTAGAGGTTCTCAACTTTGGGAACTTGGAGAATCCTTTCAACCATCCTCATCCAAGAAATCCATGGATCTAAGAAGCAAGGAATGAAGGCCCTCTCCTTGGGTGATTAGCCTTTGCTTATGCAAAGAGGAATCAACAAAGGTATAAAATCTCTCAACTCACTTTGTTCTTGAGTTGAGTCTTGGTTCACCTTTCTACTAGGCTTTGAATTTCATGGGTAATGTTTTGTTTTGAGTGCATATAAGCATGATTCCGCCTTTAAATGTTAAATGCATGTCATAGATGTTGCTCAAATGAACATGTTTTTCACAAAATTTCTTTCATAAGTAACGGGACAAAACTTTTTGACAGTTATCAACAAAAAATCACGATTTAACGATTATTTTAACTCTTATTTTGATGATTTTTTACAGCTACCTCCTTGACCCTATATGAATTCAATGAATGAACTCGATCTTCAATTTAAAATATTTACACTAGTGGATACCACAAAATCTTATGTTATACTTAATGAAAGTATGAATAAACTCTTAAGTGTTAGTGAATCTATTGTTTGATGGGATATGCATTCTACGAAACTAGCTTCAACAATCTAACTGTCAAACATGTTTGTATATACTTCGATCCAACTTGTTTGTGTATATGCTTCGAGATCGCATATGCTAAAAATCACAAAAAATAAGCATTCAGAGATCAAGTGTAAGATCCCACATCGCCCAGGGGTGTGGATCCACTATTCCTTATATGTATATTCTCATCTCTACCTAGTACGAAGCCTTTTGGGAGCTCACTGGCTTCCTGTTCCATAGGAACTCCGAAGTTAAGCGAGTTCGCATGAGAGGAATCCCATGATGGGTGACCCACCAGGCAGTTCTCGTGTGAGTTCCCAGAAAAAAAAATCGTGATGGCGTAGTCGGGGCCCAAAGCAGACAATATCGTGCTACGATAGAGTCGAGCCCGGGATGTGGTGGGGGCCCGGGCCGGGATGTGACAATTTGGTATTAGAGCCAATCCCTGGCCGGAAGTGTGCCGACGATGATGTCGGGCCCCTAAGGGGGGTGGATTGTAAGATCCCACATCGCCCAGGGATGTGGATCCTCTATGCCTTGTATGTATATTCTCATCTCTACCTAGCACGAGGTCTTTTGGGAGCTCACTGGTTTCGGGTTTCATCGGAACTCCGAAGTTAAGCAAGTTCGCGCGAGAGCAATCCCAAGATGGGTGACCCACTAGAATGTTCTCGTGTGAGGTCCTAGAAACAAAACCTTGAGGGCATGGTCGGGGCCCAAAGTAGACAATACCGTGCTACGGCAGAGTCGAGCCCAGGATGTATTGGGGGCCTAGGCCGGGATGTGACATCAAGTAACGGGATAAAACTTTTCGACGTTTATCAATGAAAAATCACGATTTAACGGTTATTTTAACTCTGATTTTGATGATTTTTTACAGCTACACTCCTTGACCCTATATGAATACAATGAATGAATTTGATCTTCAATTTACAATATTTACCGCAAAATCTTATGTCATGATAATCGATGAAAATTGAGGATTTTGTAAAAGGAATAACATGCAAGCTTTGAATTCCATTGGTAAGATTTAAACTTTTAAGAAAGGCTTCAGAATCTTGAAAACAAAAACTCTTTCATTTTGCATATCCTTGCACATTTAATATTTTGTAATAGACTAGTAGTATATGGATGTTTGTTTATTAGGCTCTTATTTTAGAGTGTAGATGTAGTACTTAAACGACAAATGTGTTTTAATATTTTGAAGTAATATTTATGTGGCAATGTGTGGTATGTGCAAATTTAAGAAAAAATATATATTTTTCTTAACAGGTCATAACAGGTCGGGTCACTTTACCCATTATGTTAAGAACCTATTAAGATAACGGATGTGACACGACACGACTCGTTAAGATAACAGGTGTTACACAAAAACGACACAAACACGACAGACACGACCTGTTTGCCAGGCCTAATTATGGGTATGTCAAAGTGGTTAAATGTCAAATATGTGAAAGATGAAATGACAATCCTGGTTGTTATATGACTTCATTAAGTAGTCTAGAATCTAGTGAACCATGATCGTTGAGTTCTATTGAGTGATTCTAGAACTCTATGTTTTTTTTTTTACTAAAATGTACCATGAGAAATGTCTGAAATTAACAAAGGATGAACTACGAATGATTTGATCTCGTCTTAGGGCATGTAAGCAGTAACTTAAGGGTTAGATGCAGCCATGAGATAAAGTAAATGAAAAGATGCGACATTGTTGAATTAACGGTTTGTTTTTGGTACTTCAATAAGCGAGACTATTGACTTTGTTGATTAGGTGCTTGATATTTGTGTTTTATTGGAGTACTAAATCTAGCTTAATTTTATGTGATTGTCCTACTAAGACTTGACGTCACGTGTCGATCTTGAACATATCTTAGGATCGTGTTGTGACGATTCTTATATGTGAGAATCAACAAGAATCAATGGTTTATTGTGTTCAGAGTTTGTTCCCTTTGTCCTATCTTATTTGTTGCATCACTTGGCATTCGTGTGGGACCTATAAAACTAATTATATGATGCCACACGGATTAAAATTGGCAATTAAAGATAAATTCTGTATAAATTGTTGGTACATTAATCAATATATAAATTGTTGGCAGAAAAGAATCAAAGATAGTCTCAAAAAAAAAAAAAAAAAAAAAATCGAAGATAAATGAATTGAAGGTATGACTTGTTTTTGGCACCAAAGAATCAGAATCTGCAACCAAAGTTGTCAAATTATGTTTAATGACTATTTTATTAACATTTCTATGATAAATTAGGTTAAAATTTATCCATTTTTGGCCAACAGAACAAAGGTTAGCCACAAAGATGGATGAGGATCCTCTTCCGATCCTCTTTGTGAGGATCATGAAGAGCACTTCATCGTGTCCATTCATTATACATCGTGCAACCAATTTTCATCAGATACTATTTGTATTCAATTTCAAATAAAAAAATTCAAAATGATTTTTGACCATAAACTTTGCAACTTAAATAAACTGTTAAATATATTAAAATTTGCTACTTAGTATTACGGTCTAATAATATTCCATTTCACTTATAAATGAGAGGTCTTACGTTCGATTATTGCCAAAGACAAATTTGAACCACATTATTGTTAGTCCATTATGAGGCTTAACGCATTCCCCAACCTCCTTAGTATAGATAATATCATTTGTTTAAATTGACATAACCTTGCATTGTAAGTAAATTATAGGTTGGAAATTTCAAGATTCCGACGTTTTCTGTTCTTTTGGTTAAACAATCTTAACATAAATCAATTTAAGGACCACTAGCAAGTAACAAGCATCTTATGGTTTCATGTCTTTCTTTATTTGAAGGTAAAAAACGCACATCGAACCAGCTGACTCGTCTGATCATTCAATGAAATGATGCTACGTCAGTAACTATTTACCAATTTATCGACACACATCAACAGCTATGTAATCAAGGTATCAACGGTAGAGCGAGAGAGATACATCTAAATTAATATGCTAATGAGTAGTTCCTTATATACAGTCAAGAATCTTGCAAGAGTTCAGTTACAATCCTTGAAGCAACATTTCAATCATACAACAGATAGTTAAGGGAGAAAGAGTAAGAGCAAATCAACACTTGTTTTAAGAAAAGGTGCCTGCCATGTATAAGTGTCAAGCATGTTGAATGCATGTGACGGCTGCTTCTCCTCCGTGTCTTCCAAATTATTTATATTTTGCATCAGTTTGAAAACAATGACAACAACGACAGATGAAGCCGTATAATAAAATAACTTCATCCCCGCACCGTGTTTTTAGCCTGGCTTGTCCGGCAGATTAGCCCTGCAACCGAAACTAGAACTTGAACCTTATTGCAGCAGTGGCTCGTCGTCATTTTGTAATTCCTTGAGCTGCCTTTTTGCATACACCGTGAAGAAAATTGTGGTAACCACAGTCAAAGAGAAGCCAACTACAGTGAAGATTATCTGTGGCGCTGAAAGACCATGGCGCTCATGTGAAGCGTCTGCCAACGTCCGTATCAGGATCCCACTGCAAAGAAAATAGGAGAGGAAGTTTGCTGATAAGTCAAAGCACAATTGGTTGGTCCAAAATATAAACGGAGCAATTTTCATGAGAAAAGACAGGAAAATGGCTTAAGTACTTCAACTAATTATATTTCACACTCCAGAAAGCAGACCAATATAACATGAACATGGGAATGTCTCTTGCCTACCAACCAGATTGGAAGAATGGTATGAATAATTAAGGGAAAATAATAACAAACTGGTTAAAAACAATGCACCGAGACACCAGATAAGACGACCTTACAATTGATTGGAATGAGGCCACTACTACCTGGTATAAATGTTTAGGCATATTCTACTGCAGTAAGCAAGCTACACAGCAGCTCCCATAGCTACCATTACCAATATTCAGAAATTAATAGTGATGTGGCGTGAAGACACCAAGTGAATGGTGGTGCAGGAAACTACTAAAGAAGGCCAGGACAGCAACTAAAGCTTTCGACCTTCCAACCAAGTGATACTATATTGTTTAATTGGTTCAAAATCCCACATTTAAATGGAGGTTCACCAACGAAACATATTTGAAACAGTTAAGATTCTTTCTCACCTTAATACAGGATCATGCACTTATATGCTTATATTTCTTAAAACTGCTAAATCAGTTCAACAACACACATAGAAGATCTCACTTTACAAAAACATTAATTTCCTGGACTAATGATTTGCAAACATAGAAAGAATTATACAAATAAATACAATCCATGTTACTCTGAACACATGATCCTTTCTTGTTGCCAATATACAAATACATATATTTATTCCATAAGGTGGTGTTAAAAACTGCAAGAGTCTAAAAATACAGACATGAAGGTATGGCTGAACGTATGAGTGAGAGAGAGGGAGAGTGGATTCAACATACGTGTAGATGGCGACAAATGTTTCTGGCACCATTCCCGCCAAGGACCCCAACAGGTAAGGAACATACTTGACATTTGTTGCCACAGCAGCATAATTATAGATAATATAAGGGAATGGAGAAATCCTGATTAATGTTACAGCTCGAAACTGATGAAACCAGTTTCCTTCGCCAGCCGATCTTAAAATGGATGCTCTCTTCGGATATTTTTCTAACCATCCCTGCATAAGCATAAAAAAAATGTTAAATCATATTCAGTGTGTGCAGGCAACACACAGCATAAACCTGAAAGAAAAAACTACGTCAAATGGAACATTACGCACTTGAATTTTGTGATAGAAGAGAGAGCCAATGAAGAATGGAAGGGATACACCCACAGCTGCTGCTGATATGATTAGAAGAAATCCATAACCATAACCAAATGCCATACCAGCCACCCACATAGAAGGTGAAGATGGTAAAAGTACAGTGGGAAATAATGCCACAGAAGCAAAGACTAGAACCACAAGCACTGGAGGACTGAATGTTCTCGTCTCCCAGTCAAGAATTGGAATAATCTCCTGTAAATGATTTCATCAATAGTCAGCTATAGTAAGAGAAATTGTATCAAAGCTAGTTGAAATAGGAAGAATAAAGAGTAAGCATTCATACAAACATTGGATTATAACACTTAATAACCACCGTGCCGAAGTCTTAATCTCCTATGTTTCTTCACCAAAGAAACAATTGTCTTGTGCAGACACCATGCAATGAATTAACGGCAACACGAAATTATTTACCAGTCTAAAATATTTGAAATCGGCTTAAATGGGAAACAGAACATTGACTATAGTAAGTGGGCTTCAGTACTTAATGTCACTACCACATAAATGACTACAGTCACCAACATTGCAAAAGTTACCGAAAATACAAGCTCCAAATTATAATCCCAAATGCAGCACATGATATTACCCATTTCATCAAAGCTTAATGCTTCACAGCAGTGTCTTACATGCCAGGAACATAGGAATTGCCACAAAAAGGAACAAGGCATTATCAAATTCACAAAAAATTTCCGAAAAAAATAAACGAAAACCATATAATCAAAGACAATGGCAGTAACAAAATCACCAGAGGTGGGTTTATTTGTATATTATAGACCAACAAATTGATGAGTTCCAGTAAAAGAAACTCACACGTTCCTTCATTAACATGTACCACCATTGCAGAAAAGCTGATACCGAATACCGAAACACAATCAACCACGGTTTTACATACAAGTCATAAGGTAACAATTAAGCAAAACCCAAAACTAAAACACAGAAGAAAGACAACAACAAAAAAGCTTTATCCTACCAAGTGAGGTCGGTTATATGAATCTAAAACGCCACTGCCTTCGGTTTTCTGTCATATCTTCCGTTAAATCAAAGTGAAAAAAAAAGAAAAAAAAAAGAAAAAAAGAAAAGGGGAATGTTTACCTTATCCATGAAATAAGGTCCGACCCATTTTGCAAAAATCCCAGCCAACAACCCCAAGCACATAACCAACAATACCAACCTAACCCAATACCAAAAAGACGCTAACTTTCTCGGAGACGCCGGCTCCGCCACCGCCTCAAAACCCTCCGCCGTCCCGCAACCGCCCCGATCACCATCCACCAACTTAGCATAGTCCCCTTTGTCGTCTTCGCCACCAACTCTCAAAATCAGCTCCGGCACCACCTCTCCCCGATCCTTAAAATCGTCATAGGACATCGAAAACCCCAAGAAATTTTATCAGGCCGCAGAAAACCCCAGTTGGTCCCCGTTTCGGTTCGAAATTGCGAGAGATTTGGGAAATTGAGGGAGTGTGTGCCCAATGTGAATGTTTGGTGATGGATCAGAGAGCCCGCGTGTACATGAAGACTGGCAGATGCGCAGAGGCGATCGAATGTACCAATTGAAATCGAAAAGCACACGCAAACAAACACCCAAACTCGAACAGCGGAAGGTGTTAATTTTTAGCATTATTAAAAAATTTGATCTCTATTACTGTATTAATTGATTTTTTTAATTAATTTGATCTGATAATTGAAAATTAATAAAAATAAGAGATAAGTATAACTGGGTGTATAGGTAGTACTGTCTACAAGAATACATGACAAACAATTGAATACAGCGATATATATATATATATATATATATATATATATATATTATATGTAGATGTATTTACGAGACTGCCACCTGAAGAAATGGTAACATTTTGGTTGACTAAGACACGTGGTGGGAAGCAAAAATGTTTACCCAAAAAAAAAAAGGAAGCTTTAATGAAAAAGAATTGGGCCAACTTTTTCTTAAGCAAAAACCATGCACAACTTTTATTTAATAAAAAGGTTTTAGATTTAATAAAAATGACAAAAGGGACATACAAAAGGCCAACAAAAAAAAAAAATTCCCAAGGGTTGAAGCAAAGCCCAACATGCAACATAAATCTTTCTTCCAACTTTGTCCCTAACAGAAATTAACCAAAATCTGTTAACACAACTTTATATTATTTACAATATTGCCATCAAGCCTAAAAAGTCTTCTTTTTTTTTTTTTTTTTTTTTTTTTGAAAACAAAGGTATTTTATAGTCCCTCGTATTGTTGATATATATGTTTCCTCTGAGGGACCAATGAAGAACACCAAATTCCGAGATACCAACCCTCGAACCCATACCCTACGAGGATCATGCTTGTGCACTTTCCATTAGTCAAATAAAACCAAAACTAATTTAATTTTCAATTTGTACCACGACGACTTTCTCTTGAAGTGCCGATCGTCGTCGCTCGACTCATATTCCATGGAAACAGCATTGATCAATCTCTATGCTTCCAGTTCCGTTGCTCATAGCCTTGGCCATCGAAGATGACTTGTACTCGTCGTAGAACCCATTCACCAAGGACGATGACGACTCCTTGTGATAGTGATGCGCCGACGATTATCCCCACCGTCGGAGTAGCAATGGCATCAGAAGCAGTGGAGGAAGAAGAAGGCCTTCCGCTGCTTGCTCACCTCTCTCTCAGGAAAGCTTATGCGAGAGAACGCGCTTGCTTTGTGCTTCCACTCCGCCACCACTTTTGTCGTACTAGTTGATGCTGTAGTTGATTATATATATGCAAAAACAAGACATTAAATTGTATTGCGTTTCACTTTGCGAACAATCATATATATATAGCTACAGCTTCCACAAGCTAAAATGATCTTTTAAGATTTTAAATTAGTTCAAAATTGGGACTATACTAAAACAATTTACGACAAGAGCATCTCAAATATCTCATCGGGTTAAAAGAGAAGCAGAAATTATTAGAACTATGGATTAGACACAAAGGAGGGGCTATAACTTTCCTTTCTTTTTGCGAACCCCATGCTAATTATATATACGCAAAAATGGGGTGTGTGGATATCACACTCCTATTATAGCTCAACTTACTTCAAAATTAGTGAGACACAAAACTCCCCAAATTGAAGTCCATGAACTCTCCAGAGGTAATATTTCTTGAATTGAATACTGGTATTATCACTATTTCGTAAACTTAACACTGACTATTTCTTAAACAGAAAACGAGCACTATCACTATTTCTTAAACTGAACACGGGCACTATCGCTACTTTTTAAACTGAACACGGTTACTAACACTATTTCTTAAACTGAACACTTTTACTAATACTATTTTTTTAATCTTAACACTGACTATTTCTTAAATTAACACGGTTACTAGCACTATTAAATTGAACATTGACTATTTCTTAAATTGAATACGATTACTAACACTATTTTTTAAACTTAACAATGACTATTTCTTAAATTGACAATGGTACAATCACTATTTCATAAACTGAACACTAACTGTCACAGCCCGTCCCGAAATTCATTTATCAGTGAGGTAAAATGACAATTTATCCTTGGACGGGAAAATGGTAGTGTATATGTGCGACATATTGAGACTTAGAGGTTGTTTTGTGGTCTTGGATTGGTGACCATGTGGATCACACACACACCACACTCACTCATTTTCTCTTCTTCCCGTGCTCTTTCTTTCATCTCTCAGACTCTCTCCCTCTATCCTTCTTCTTGTATGGACAAACACCAAAAACCTCTCAAACCTCACTGATCGAGGAAGAAAATGGTACCATTGTGCTCGTGAGGACCCTACGAGTTCAAAGGTATCAATTTCAGGTAAGGAAACCTTCGATTTCACGTGGAAACCCTAGCCCCGATTTTGGTCACTATTCATATGGACGTAAATATGTTGATTTTAGGGAATTTCAAGCTCATAGAGAGCTTTAGGAGGTCTTAAGGAGGCTCGAGTTGGTTCGTTGGATAAATTTGGACGTCGGGATAGCTAGTTTTGAAGTTGACCGGATTATCAAACTTCCTCAGGTAAATTCTAGTGGATTTCAAGGCTTAAAAATGGTATAACGTGATTCTACATGTTAGCTTTCCAATGGTTCAAATTTCATAAGTTTTGGTTAAGAAACGAGCGAGAATAGACGTTTTAAAGTTTTACCTAGTTTTTCGACAACCGGCGACTCGCTGGAGAAGATGACGGCATATTTCGTCAGTTTGGACGAAATATGCTGACACCATCAGTTAGTTTTAATGGAATTTGTTAGATTTTAATGGAATATTCCCTAACGATGTTTAGGGAATCCGTCAATGTGCCTGCATGTGGGCCGCACGTGAGGCCGTGCCCTCTTTGGCGTGTAAGGGCGCATGAGCCACAGAAAAATTATTTTAAAAATATCACAATGTTTGTGAGGTTGTGTAGGTCACGTTGGTATATTCAAATACCAAAATTGAGCAATGTATGAGAAGTTATTAGCTAGTTTTGCCTATGTGCTTTAAAATAACGTTTTTATAGTTAATTCGCATATAGGTGAGACTTATCTCGAGGACGAGCGTATCCATGGGCTACGACGCTTCCACATACTAGTGAGTGGGCTTTTGTTTTCAGTATATATTTATGTATTTGATATATTTCCCAGAAATGCATTTTCAAGGAAAGTATGCTTTGATATAATATGCCAAATGCTTTTATATTTTGAATATGCATTTCATGGTTGCATACATATATAAATGTGATATTGTGCTTTTATATTTTGAATATGCATTTCTTGGTTGCATATATATATAAATGTGGTGTTATGGAGGCACAGGTAAGTTTAGATAAGTTATGTTTGATTATGTGAATCATCGATGATGTGATATGTGATTGAATAATGTTGAGCTCATAAAACTGCAGCTAGGGTGATTGTGATTTAGTCAGAGATATGAAGTACATGCCTGTTTATTTACGTCACCTCTCGCACTATATGCTCATATTGGATCCAACTTAAGTGCACAGTTTTGTTGTACATACCTTATTTATGGTTCTGACTCGTAGGTGACTAACAATTTATCACCTGGCTATTATGAGAGAATAGAATTGAGCATAATTATATTACACCCAATCTTGTCGTACATACCCCTTTTTAGTGGTTCCGATTTATGTGCAGTATATTGCCGTATAGGTCATTGTAGTGACTCCGGCTAGATTGACTTTTGAGCTATGAATTCAGCTGTACAGACTACCACAGGGGTTCCGGCTAACATATCATATTTCTATGAAATCATTCTTACCTGGATTGTTTACTTTGTTATATTTTGGCATGGCATACATATGAATATGATTATGTGAAGTATGAATTGAATTGATATGATTTCATATATATTATGTATATGCTTATATTGTGGTTCTAGGAAAAGTTATACATGTTTTACAGCGAGGGTTTAGTATATTGATAAATGAAATGGTTTTGTAAAACATTTGTTTTTGCCCACTCACGTTTTCTGTTTTGTGCCCCTCCAGGTTTTAAGTAAGCTTGTTGTTGGTCACTTGAGGACGTCGGCGGTTTCGACTTATCTGAATAATAGTAGGATATTCTTGGTACTGTATAACTAGTACTTGTCCTACTGGAGTGCACCTAGACTTTATGCTCTGATTAGGAGTATTTATTGTTGTAACTAACTCCTATCACTATCTGTTTAGTAGTGCACTCTAGTAATTCAGTTTTTAATTATTCGTATAATTCTTATCATTATCGCTTCCGCACTATGCACATGGCTATGTCACTCTCACATGACGGCCAGCATGCCTTGATCTTGGTTAGGGTGTGTCAGTTTGGTATCAGAGCCTAGGTTTAGCAGTCCTGTATAATTCTTGAATATTCTAATCCTTATGATGTCTTATGTCAGAACTATGCCGCCTTGTAGAGAGCCTCGTCAATCAGCTAAATCTAGTTTCCCTAATATTGCTCAATTAGGGGAAGCTATAGTTTCTTGATGCGTAAAATAACTAAACACACAAATTAAACCCTCTTTTTATCAATTGTAGTAAAGTATGTAAGTAGGGATCGTTCTAGGCCGGGGATTAGGAGGGATTGCTAAATCACTTGGAAACTGACTTGAAAACGTGAAAACAAAGTTTAAAACACTAACTAGACTCAAAGAATGCAAAACTATACTTTAAAACACTAAAACAAACCAGAAGACTCAAAACAGCCCCTAAACACTCAAAACTACCTTAAAAACACAATCTGGGCAATTTTGGGACTCTCACACAAACTTGGACAAATTTTGGTTTTCTAATGAACTAAAACACTTAAAAACATAATCTAAGACAAGTTCTAATTAATATGACTCAAAGAAATAAGATGGGGTTGATTTTCGACGAAAATAATTAAATTAAGACAAGAACAAAGTAAACAAAATTCTTAGACAAATTTGGGTGAATCAAAACACTCTAACACACAACCAAAACAGAAATTAAACACTTTGAAACAATAAAGTAAAAGGGGGATTTTGGTTTTAATGAATTTGAAAAAAAAACAAACTTTGTAAAACAAAACAGATTGTAAGTGAATTTGAATGAAACTTATGGATGGAAGATTAGCTAGGAGGTTCTTCTCCACATATGTCACACTTGCATACAAAA